CTGGGCGCGGCCCTGCACACACCCGCTCCCGCCGAACGGGACAGGCCGCACACACAGCACAGCGCGGAACCTCGGCACTGCTTCAGGCACAAACCCGGGAGAGCCGCTCGGGAGCCACCCTCTGTGTTTGCCTGGGAAGAATACACCCGTGCTCTGCTTGGCTTTGAGAGGGCAGGAGACTGACTAGAGGCTACCATCACCGTTACCATCCTCCTGTATTATGTGGGGAATTTGCATTGGTAAAGTACAACAGGTGAGAACTAAGCTGACAGTGTTAAAAACTGAGGCAGAAGGCTCTGTTAGGAAAGCTGCTGAGAACAGGAAAAGGTGTATGGAGGAGGGCAGACCTGCCCTGCACTCACTGGTAAAAGGAGTCGTTCAGTTCGAGGTCCAGCTCTGCAATCATTTCCCCACCAGGCACAGTCTACCCCCAGCAAGCACTATCACACTCCACAGCCAACTCATAAAAATAATTTAAACTTTTAAGAAAATCTCTGTTTTATTGTGTAATGTAGCATTGAAACATCTGAACAAATCAATAACTGGGCTGTACAGGCTGCTGTTCTTTCATTTCTTTGGGTTATAGAGCATCTTGTCAGTACATAAACAACAACCTTTTGCATTATAAATTCTTTCCGAGGCATGCTGGTACAACACAAATTTCTCTTATCAAATGCAGCTAAGTCTAACTTCCAAACATCATGCACAAGAAACTCATCTAGTGACAATGTAAACTCAGCAGAAGGGCAGGTCACAAGTCTTGCTTGCTCACGCTCTGCAGTGCTGCAGGTTTGTGTATGATATTTGGAATGTTCCGTGAGTGTGAGTAATACCAGTTAAGAGGAGAGGAGGAAAACAAAAACAAAAAAGAAAAAAAAGGAAAAAAAAATAAAGGGGATGAAAAAAAAGAAAATAAAAATAAAAATAAAAGCCTGGGTGCCTCGGGATGGGCAGTTCAGCCAAAGTTGTGCAGTGCTAGCCTGAACATGTCATTGGTGCAAACCCAGGCATCGTTGATGTTCTTTAATAGAAATATCTGGTGGAATCCCATGATAGGATCTTCATCAGCCTGTAGAAAGAAAGGGAGGAAAAAGGTTGAAAACACTCATATTTTGAGAAATTTATTCCAAAACTCACGATGAGACAACTCCAAGCTAACATTAACAGTGACATTACATGCTGTAAGATGTGTAGTACCTCAGGAGACACCAATACCACCAGAGGGTCTGTTCTGAGGGGCTCTGCAGACAAACACCCAGGGCCCAGAGACACAGAAATCCTGCAAAGGCATCTGAAGTTGGGGTTTTGTGGAAGACTTGCTGACTTGTCACTCACCACACTGATGGAACATGCCTGCCTCAGTGTTGAATCACAAATCCCTTGCCCAGGAATCAAACTTAAAAGAAAGTGGTTCAATGTTTAGCTGCTGAACTTTGGGTTGATGGGAGAAGGGAGTTTCTGCAGAGGTTGGTATCGACACATTGCCTGGATGATGCAGGTGGTCTGGGCTTTGAAAGCCTTGCCAGAGCAGGTGCAGTTGGCCAGAAAGTACTTCCCACAGTACTTCCCACTTCCACTGGCCAGCAATGGCTGGAAGGGAGCAGAGCATTCACTACAGCTGTGACAATGTGTTCTAAGCACAGGGAATGGCTGCAGCAGTGCCTTCACTCCTGCCTCTGACAATATGTCTGGGTATTTATAATATTACTACAAAAGTAGAAAATAGTATTAGAGAGCGACTAGTACTCCCACCTGTAATGTTTATTTACCCATCTTCTCAGAGACATCATACAGGAATTAAATCCTCAAAATAAATTGTTCCCAAATCAATCAGCTGGAAATCACACAACAGGATTTAATCTGAACAGCACATCATAGGACCAACTACAAAACAATCTTCTGATGGTGGCTGTAGTGTGTTCAATTCAGCATTTTTGGAGGATTTTAAGCTTTACTTTTTCAACACATGACTATTCAGCTTCAGAAGAGGGGGCAGAAATTTATAAAAAAGAGCCTTGAAAAGCAGCAGCCAGAGCAGCTCATGAAAGAGGCTGTCACAGCACTGAAAGTTCATTGGCAATGCTCTGTTGCTGTTCAGCAAGAACAAGTGAAAAGTCTGAAGAGAAAAGCAGACTACAGAATAACAAAAAAGACAATTTACTTTAAAAAAGTAATATTCATGGACTTTGAAACAAGTCAGCTTTGAGGACCAACTTGCAAAGGACATCAGTTATATCACAGAACAGCAAGTCTGCCAGAACACTGGTGGCATCAGGTGCATGGAAAGGAAGCATTCAGATCCAAAAGCCACTGCAAGGATTTCACAGTGACAACCACCTAGGAAGTTAAGTGGTGTACATCAAGTGTAGTTTCAGTAAGTGTATTCTAATTCACAGAGGTAAACCAAAGTAAGCCCTAGACTGGCCCCTCATGAAAGTGATACTGAAATAATGATGTATATTTATTTATTAAACCAGCTGTGAGCTCTAAAGCTATCAAGGCAAGCACAGGGTTAGCAGTTGTTAGGGAAGAACAAAGAACCAAAACCCAGAAGTAAGCAAATGCATAAATAGGCAAAGAACACCCACATATCAAATCCTGCATGCATTTTTTATAAGTAAAAAAAATAAAATGCTACAATAAAATCATAAAAGGACAAGACTCATACAGCTACAGGACTGTTTCCTACTGAAGAAAGTAAATTGAGTACAACTCTTCAGCTTGCAAAAACATAATGAGAATGGGGAGAACAGGCAAGACAAATTACTATAAAACCATGAAGAACAAAGTGAATGAGGAAACTACTACAGACAGAAATTAAGATGGCAACAAGTAAGGCCAAGAATATGGGCCAGTGTTCAACACATGACTGAATGAGAGAAAAATCCCCAAAGCAAGCCAAGTATTTGAACTTGTCATTACTGATATGAGTATGCTTTAAAATATACCTCTGGAAAAAAAAATATCATCATCAGACAAGTTTAGTATAGGTCTCCTTGATTTCTGATAAGCCTATGTAGGCTCTGTAAAGAGCACTGCAGCTCTTGATGCTTTCACTTAAGGAGAATTTCTTCCTTTCTTAAGAAATTCAGGGCTGGACACACAAAGAAAAACTAGAAGAGAATTCTCCCAAAACACTTGGTGCGGTACAGACAGCAAATTCCCACAATGAAGTCACACATTATAATTTTCTTTACTCCTTTAATGTTATCCCTTCATAACATAGAGGAGTGGTATACTTTAAAAACAAGGGAAATCCTAGACTATATTCAAGCTGAAGTACATACTTTATAGTCCCTTCCCAAATTTTGACTATGTAATATTAGCAAATAGCAAAGGGCTCACAGTTCAGTGACTCAAGATGCCCCAGAAAACACAGACTAATCCTATCCCATTTTAGTTTACATCTTCATCACAGCTCAGATAACACCACTGAAACTCTGTCCTTACTTTTCACTCCAAATACAGGCATGTCCAACTCAGGATTTGCATTCCAGATGTGAGCCCAGGCTCAAAACACATAGGGCTTCAGTCTTCCTATAAAACTTCCCTTTTTGTAGTTCAAATTCTTCCATGACATCATTGAATTAAAACAAAAATTAAAGAAGTCCCAGAATCAGATTGGAAGAATCCTCTGATTTCCAGGCCAGCCTTTTGCCCAGCATGAGCACAAACTACAAGAGCTCTGCATCACAGAGCCACAGAACAGGCTGGGTTTGTCCACAGAAGGTAAAGGTCCACAAAAGGGATCTTTAGAGATCATCTAATCCAACTCTCTTGTCCTGGGCAGGGACATCTTTCACTGTATCAGCCACAGCTTTGTCTAGCAGAATATTCACATTCTTACAAAACAGATGTTTCACAAGGTGTCCAGGCACCACTTCCCGGGGTTTCTGTCTTCCCATAAAAATCTTCCCTTGTGTTCCATTTCTACTTTCCAAGTTATGTTTTCTAACCACTGTCCCTTCTTACACTGTCTGGTACCACTGACAAAGCTCATTTTCAGGTTGTTGGAAATACTCGATTACTTTTCACTGACGTTTCAAGCAGATTGCCCTTAGCCACCTCCTCTCCCACAAGCTCTTTATCTCCCACAGTCTTGGCAGCTTTTTGACCTTTCAGTTTTTCTACATCCTTTCTGACCTGGAGGCTCAAAAGGAAGTCCTCAGCTCACAGAGCAGTGAGTCACATCAGAGTTTGAAATGGAACACTGCTTTGCATTTCAGGTTTAACTACACAGCTTTCCTCTTCTTGCCTGGTCAGAGAGGGTTTTACTTCTTCACCAGCACCCCCAGCAATTATTGATTGAACTGCAGGATTGCAACAACCCTTACCTCAATGGAAAGGCTAATTACTTGAGACTGCAGGTTCTTTCACATGTTAAGCCTTATTTAACAGGCTTTAAGCAATGCTTTAAGTGTTCAGCATGCATTACAAAAATATCCAGTGATTTTAATTGCAAATTTCCTTTTCCTTTTAAGACTAGGAAACACCACATAACAATTAGTTATTCACAATTAATTCTGCATTGATCACTTCAAAAATCACACTCGGATCTGCCACATGGCTCTGAGAACACACAAGCCATAGCCATGCTTCTCAGCCGAGCTCAAGGGACAGAAGGGCAAGAAGAGAGCACTCCTTACTCAACCAGGACAGCGAGGACTGGAAGACAGGTAAGGCAGAGGGTTAAATGTTGTGGAGGGCTAGCCTGAAGACTTCGTTGGTGCACACCCAGGCACCTTGAAAATTTTTCAACAAAAAGGTTTGGTGGAAGCCTAGAACTTGGTCATCATCTGCCTAAGCATGACAGGAGAAATACATTACTAGGTGAAGCACACTGAAGATACTGGGTGACATTCAGGATGAACATTGGCAAAGCAGGGTCACACCAAAAGGAATTCACTCCTAAAGGCTTAAACTGATGCTTACTCTTCCTAGTTGAAGCAAGCAAGCAGCACTCAGACAATGAACAGCAATAAAAACCAACAGGATCAGAATAAGTGGATGTATATTTATTATATCTCTACGAAAGGATAACCCCACCCAAACATTAATACCTATCAGCATCCATTAAAGAGGATCTTTGAAAGCAATTACTGCACTGCTTTAGCTATTGAGTTAGATCCCTGCTAGAGACATTCACCTACTCAGATGCTCTGTTACTCTGCAGCATCTTCTCAAAGAAGCTGTTGTGCCCAGGCCCCTCAGTGCAGGTGATTATTCTGCTGCAAAAGGTTTGGTTTTTTAAAATTTATTTGTAGTTCATACTGGTATATAAGAATACTACTGGTCTTTGAAGTGCCCTTCCTTGTGCAAAATTCTCTTACAGCTCTCCTTGAGAACAACATATGCAGGCTGAGCAGCCACACCACTTTAAAGCTGAGCAGCTTTAAATAACAGTGAGTATGCAGCTCCACATTTGCCTATTATAGTGCTCCCTGCTCAACTGGAGCTACATGTGAGCCACTTGTTAAAATGCACCACCTGCACCCAGCTGTTCTCAGTTACTGTATTGTACACAGAGCAGCACTGAGATGCAGTAAAATGGCTGTCAACATGTGTGAATTGGCACAAGAAAAAGGCCTTCACTACATATGACAGCCAGGTTCATTATGCCACAGACTGTTCCTGATATTTCATTTGTCCATCTCTATAAATATTACACAGGGCAGAAGTGTGAAGTTAAAACTTTAAGCTGACTTTGACTTTCTGGACACTTGTTCTGTGAGAAGCAGCACTTCCAAGAATTAAGATGCAATTTTTAAAGCTAAGGTTTGAGACACATAAATGTGAAGAGTGGAAAAACATTTCCTCACCTCTAAAAATTGACAAGCAAGTTGGATTTGATCATGACAGTAGGCATATTTTAACCCAGTGTGTTCTCTCCAAAAACCTGGATGCTCTAACACATGATCCCCAAATTATTTCAGCAAGCTGAAATTACTCAGAGGTTAAAAAAAAAAATACATCAGAAAATACTACTCCAAGTCATGGTATTTATGGAAAGCTCCCAGACTGCACTTACAATCCCTCCACATTAATGAATTATGGTTTGAGAAAACCCAATAGCTTTACAGAATCTCTTAGAACTTGGTATCTTGCCACAGGATCCAACACAATCACTGTTGCAAGCTGTGATTTGCTTGATAATTATGCAATAACCTTAAAAACATGACCGTGCAAAACGTGGTGCAGACGTGACTGGCCCAAGACATTAAGTCAAAAGGTCTTGATCACATCACAGAATTTTGTGCACACCCAAGAGCAAGGCTGAGGAGATCAACATGTCTGTCCTGTAATTCAGTGCTTTCCATGGTCACGTGTGGCTGCTTTTCCACGGAGTGCGTGCAGGTGGGACTGAGCAACAGAAAAGCTGGAATCCAGCTTGCAGCTAGGAAGCATGAGCAACTTTAATGAGAGCCAAAGCTGCCTATGTTAGGTTTAGCAGTGGATGCATTACACTGGGCACTGCTCTTCTCAGCTGCCCAGCCCAAAACTAAGAGGACAGCTTAGCAAGCAGATTCAAACATTCAGTCCTATGTCTGCTTAGTAAATAATAGTGTCAGTGAAAGTTTGAATGCTTTGATACTAGAGGTGCCATTGAGTTAGCAGGGATAGGAAATCTAAACAGCTATTTTAAAATAAACTGGGTGCAGGTAACTCTAAATACTGGATGGCATTAGAGGCCTGACTTCACTGCATGGCCAGACCAAATGAATATGATTAGCTACTGCTACATAATTTCAGATTTTTTTAAACTAACACCAACCACTGTGAGCAAGTTCAGCCTGCGGCTGACTTTCCATACAGAGTATTTCTTGCAAATTCCAGGACAATGTCTTTCATTCATAAGCAGCTTCATTAATTTACAAGTATGTGGCCCTGGTATATTGGCAGACTGGGTAAGTTTACACAGTTCAGTAGTATCACTCACACAGCAATATGGTCATACTAAGCCTGAAAAATAATCTGATTCTTCACAAGAAGCAGCTGTTTCAACAACAAGTGTTTTGATCTCAGAGGCAACATTCCCATTGCTGAATCAGTTTTGATTACAGAGGTACTGGACTGTACTAACACCAGGATTGTATTCTTGTGGCCTGTGACAGTAAAGAAAAAGTATTGACTCACTGAAGGGTGGTCAGTTAACAAAATGAAGTCTGCTAAATCAGAGCTCAATACAAACATTACATCAAGGATGTTAAGCTAGACGTGCTTAAATTGTCCAAGAACACTGTGACAATGCTTTTAAATACAACAGAGGACACCAAAACCTTAGTGCATAAGGGTAAGTGAAATACTGATGCTTCTAGAACCCACATGATATTTTTTCTGCACAGTAAAATCCACAATACTTTGCTTGGTAGGACATGACTGTCAAATTACAGGTGGTTTACCTAGAACTAAGTATCTGAAGGAAGGAGCATTTCTTGACATTCTTGAACAGCAGAGGAACAATATCCCAATGCAAGCTTCCCCCGTTCCTTCCCCACCCATAAGTGCATTTAAATGTATTCAGAAATCAGATGATTTAGAATCCTGCAAAAATCAAAGACATAAGAACTCATTAACCTGTAATGGAAAAAGTTTACCTTAAGCTGTCCCACTACCATACTGAGTATACAGCTATCAGGTGTAGGTTGGTGGTCTTGTGCTGTGATGCTGTGTTGTATTTTTTGGAAAGGGAGGCTCTGCAATGAAAAGAAATCAAAATAAGGAGATGTACAGTAATTGAATTGTTTAATTTACAAAACAAAGATTAAGCAAATCCAATGTTATGAAATTTTAGACTACTGTGGCAGTACTGCACAGAGAACTGTTGCAAATGAGGGCACTACTCATGTGGGGTAAATTTTAGCAGGTGTGTTTTTCAAGCACCAAAAGAGGAAATAATGTCACCATACACAGTAAATGGTATCTTTTCCTACTCTAATTGCACTTCCTGAAGGGCTTCAGATCATCTGTAAGCTCAAAGTCCTTATGATGAAGGAACAAACCTCTGCTCTGAACGGTGTTAAAAGATTTTATCATTTCATACTTGAGGTTTACCAGACAATTCCAAATTTGCTTCTTTGTTAAAGTGGCTATGAATGGAAAGGAAAAGTGGATGAAATCTTCAGGACTTGAAATCCACATATCCACCCTTTCCCTTTTTAATTCCCTTGACACTCAGGCAGCCAGTGTCAGTATGTCTGGAAGTATGTGTGCAAGGAACACACCTTGGGGAACACCAGGCATCTGAGAGTAATTCCTGTCTTTCAACTTAGACCATATTCACATTCCAACATGGACAATTCCAAGCAGTGAACGTGAAATATCTGGGAGATCTCAGAGTCCTGACATACAGATGCAGTTTTGGGACTGCTCTCCCAAAAGCTGCACTACTTCTAGGTGCTTTAGTGGCAGCTCAGCATGGATGGAGCTCTGGGTGACCATGCGGGAGATACTCAAAAGTCCAGGAAATGCACAGTGGCCATTCAAACCTGAGGTGGCACTTGATGCCTTTGATGCATTTCCCCGATTTGGAAACAGGTTGACACAGATCCAAATGCATACTTCAAGAAGTTCTGCATGTCCCTCTAGTGGAAAGAGCCTCAAAGACTTCCAAGAAGGCCCAGGTAGAGACATGAGTCCTGCTATAATGGATATGAAGTACAGTCTTGGCTCTACAAGCCTAAGGCTCTAGGAAAAATTCCAGGAAGCTAAATCCTTGGATAACAGAGAACACAGAAACTGTGGAAGGATCAGGACCTGAGGAAGCAAACAAAGAGTAGGGAACAGCCCTCTAATCAGAGGGACACTATTCAAGAACAGCCTTTAATAAAGCCTGCAGTGTTTCCTCTTGGCTGGGAGTGCAATCCCAACCAACTCAGAAGTGCAAAGTGAACCAACTGCTTTGTAGTATGGAATAGACATTTAGTAACAACACAAATCCAAAGCCTTCTCTTCTGAATGACTAGCAGACTGTTTTCCAGGGACACCATCCCAAACTTCAATGTGAAAAATGCCCACACAGCCTGCACAAGCACAGACTGGGAATTTCCTTTGACAAAAGGGTCTCCAAAGTGTAGTTCCTACCTCAGCACAACAGCTTCTTGTTGAAGAAGTCCTGCAAAAAGATTCTCTTGAAAAGGCAGATGAAGGGGAATGAATGCAATTGTGTCCAGGGAGGAAGGAAAGGCTTTGGAATCAAGAGCTCTGCAAAATGGTGGCAAGGAACCACAGACAAGGCTGGGTAAGATGGTGGCTGTTTCAAGTACCTGGTTTCTCAGGACGAGAGGAAATGGACTCAAGCTGCATCAGAGGAGGTTCAGGTTAGATATCAGGAAGAATTTTTTGACTGAAAAGGTTAAGCATTGGAATGGTCTGCCCAGGGAACTGGTGGAATCAGCATCCCTGCAAGTGCTCAAGAAACAACTGGACAAGGCACTTAGTGCTGTGGTTTAGTTAACAAGGTGGTGTTCAGTCAAAGGTTGGACTTGATCTTGGACACCTTTTCCAACTTTAAAGATTCTATGATTGTCCTCTTCAGAGGAAAGGACCCCAAATAGCTGGCCAGCCTAGTGAGCTACTTGTGTGATGCATTGGGAGAAATCCCACTGGAAAGAGTAGGGGTGTAGGTGACAGAAAAGATTACTGATTTTAGGATAGGCAGAGGCTACCTTAAAAGGATAGTGGCTCATAGACATCCATCTGTACTGGAGTGAAGAATTTTGTGGTATGAAAAGTACAACAGAAATGTCTAAAAAGCATGGAGCCACACAACAAGCAAGGTTTTTACCATCCCCTGACATTAGAGATTGACTTGTCTTTCACTGTGAAAACTATGGAATCTCCTTAAAGTCAAGTAAGAGAAATTAGGCAAGAATAAAGTTGAGTTGCATAAACTCACTGCTGGCAGCAAGAATACCTGTCTCAGCTTCCTTGGTCCATTATGTTCATAGAACTATGTAATTATTATCTCAAATGCTCAGTGTAAATCAGGCTGCCCCTAATTAGCACAGGCACACTATGTGAAACAAGTCCAGCACCAATTAGGACAGAAGAAACAAGTGTCAATTCCCACGTTGTAACGAGGTACAGATGTGCCAGGCCTGCAGAGCAATGCCCATACAACCTTGCCCTACTATATTAGCAGATTGAAAAGGTGCCATACCATTGCTGTCACACAGCAAAGAACTTGATCTAAAAGAAAATGCCACCTCTTTGTGCTTACATCAGTTCACCAGCCAGGCACTAAAGGACACAGGACCGCAGAGGTGTGAACAAATTTCAGTGTCAAACTTTTAGGGATGTGCTGAACTGACTAAGCAGCTCCAGAAGCAGAGTAGGTGAGCACATGAAGCTGACACAGCAAACAGAGCCCAGGCAGCTCAGTGCTGAAAGAGGAATGCTGAACGACATTAGAGTCACTGTAAGCTGATACAGCCCATAACGAGCCATGGCAGTGGAAGGGCACAGAGAAACTTCAGTGCATTTCCTCTTTACTTTAAGCAGATGGATACAAGCCAGAAAAAATTTCCCTAAAGCAGAGTAGTGTGTCTTAACTCACCAATTATGACTGCAGCAGGCACATAAATCCAGAAAGGCCACCTTGCATCAGAGATAGGGAAGGTAAAGATGAGCTATGTCACAGTAGGAAAGGGGCTAGATCTGCCCTGGGCTGAACCCCAGGCAGCAATCAGACACTGTGGCCAAGCACATGCTTGGCTGGTTGGATATCTAAATGGCTGCAAGCCCAAAAGTCTAAAGAACACTGAGTACACAAACAAGCAATCCTGGAGCTTGGGTATCTTCTCACCTACAAGCAAGCAGTTGCTGCTGTTTCTGTGATGTGCAGCCTTCTCAAAGGCAACACAAGTACCTGAAGCACAGACCTGAGGGTAAACCTCAGCCTTCTCAGTTAAAGATGTCTTAGGCAAAAGAAGCAATTCCAAAACACAGGAGAAGTAGCTGTGCAATAAGCCAAGTGTCAAGTTACAATTCTTTTTCTTTTCAATGTGTAATAAAAATGTCTGAAATACCATATCAGAGCAGACTGTCAGGTGACCTAAAAAGCTTGTCCTCTGCATGTCTTGCAAGAGAAACAAACTTTCTAGTCTCATGAAAGCTTGCAAGTACCCCCAGTTTTATAACAGAAGCATGGATTTACTTAATAAGATAAAAATTATTTTAGTTTAACTAAACAAACATGGAATTCCAGTGTCCTCTCACCTGCTAAAGAGGAAACATGTTTCAAAGTCCTGAACCATACCTGCTCATATCTGAACTGCTGACAAATCTGCATTGAGGATAAGTCAGCTTCTCCACTATAGAACTTATTTGCAGTTTACGTATCAGAAAACAAGTTGTTCCTTGCTGTAATGTGTCTAGCCTTTATCACAGACAGATCCAAGTAACAGGTTTGCTATTGCTTCTTCCTTGGCATGCCTTAAAAGAGCAAAGGCACCTTTCACTCCTCTAGATCAGAGGCAGCTTATGCATTAGACCTTTTAAAAAAAATAAATCAATAATGTCAAATACAATTGCAGTCACAAAATAACCTTGCAAACTATGGAGTCAATTAACATTCCACTATTAGAGCCATCAGTGGAATAACCCACTACACAGCAGTAATTCATAACATTTCTTGAAGACCTAAGCTGGAAGCATGAGGTCAAGATTTTTGAACTGCTTAAGTCTAACTCAAATTTTCAGAAGAAATTATCTTCTAGTCTTCATAACTGTTTCCCAAAACATTCAGTGAGGATTACAGACTTACAGTGAGTTTTTCAACAATGGCTGCTTTGCCCTGGAACTGCTGTCCTTCCCACGTAAGGCATGATGCATCAATCTGGAGGAAAAAGAAAAATGTCATCAACTCAGGTAACCCTTAAGCAATCCTGTTAAGAGACTTTGTTTATTTAGCAAAAATCCTCAGAATCGAGCTATTTGAAAACTACCTCAAAGGGACATAGAAAAAAACTAGCAAAATCCATTGAAAAAGTTTGGAACAACCAACTAAAAATTAAGTAGACTACATTTCATTATCATAAGTCTACCAGCAAAAAGAGTTCCTGCCTATGGATAAAAGTTCAGAAGAAAATCTGAAGGATAAAACAAATAAAAATTATACAGACACAAAGTCAAGCATGTGGAAAGAGAAAAATATATGAAGAAAACTGACAACATGGGTTACACCAACAGGATAGTGCTCCAACTCCCCTAACTCAAGCAATTCAAAAGTGATTGGCCACATCCCTACCTGGAATATGACAAAAGTCTTAATTGACCTGGAATACACCACTAAAGATAAACTGAATCTTGTGGTGGAAGTAGCAGTACAGGAATACAAACCAAATCTAAGAGCTCCCTGCACGCTATAAAGTTTTTTTGCTCCCCTGGGGTCTCTGAAGGGAAAAAGCTTATCATTAAAAACCCATTTCTATAGAATCTCCTCAAATTTAGACAAATTATGACCTCACAAGCCACACAAAAAAAGGGTGGTCCCATTCCCCATTTGTGGAGTTCAGGAACTCCACAAAACAACACACATCAGTGACCTGCATAATAGTTCTCCCAATTACATGTGAACAGGACTCTTCATTGAATGATGGAAGGCAGAAAGACCCTAAGGGTGAAAAAGAGCCAGGAGCTCACTGTGTGGAAGGCCCTATCTCCAGAAATTTAAATTAGTTGGTACTTACCATCATTTTGAGGACTGAATGTATTTTGGTAATAAAATATAAACTACTAAGAGCCTTCATATTTAGAGTTGTGGTTAGAACAAATACTGCTTGATTTTCTTCCTCTCTCGGCTCTGTACAGAGACTCTTGGGAAAAGTAAAACAATCTGGCAAGTACACAACAATCCCAAGAGCAAATGGTATCAGTGCTGCTGGATATTGCTGAAGTGTAAGAAGGTGTCAGAGGGTGTTGAACCGTTTCAAGCCTCAGGAGCTTGCTGGAACTTCACACAGCTAATCCAGCAGAAGAAAAATCAGCCAGAAAAACAGGATATGCTGCTAGAAGACTTGTCAGCCTTGAATATCTTGCTGCAACTCCTCAGCCACCCAGCAGCAATCCTCACCATCAGCAATCAACTCCATACACAGAGCACTTTGCATGATCTGCAGGAATCTTCCTCCAAAACTAAAAGCTGATGTGCCCTGGGTTTGTTAGTTACAGTTTTTAATTCTGGTATCCAAGTCTACTTCACCCCAAATAAGATGCAAAGCTAAAAACCTAATATTTGAGGAAATTTAAACTGAATTTACATCCATTTAACATGTTGTTCTACATGTTTAAACTGGATTTAAAACTGTAAATTTATTTTAATGTTCAGAGGATTAATATAGCATGAGATCCAAGAAACACCTGCAAGAACTGCTAAACACAAGGTAGGATTTAAATTACATCCCACTTCAAGAGGGATCCAAGCAAATCCATGCCTGTAAATTAATGGCAAACTAAGACTAGAATGTTTTCTTTTACAGAGCATTTCATCACAGGATTATCATCAAACCTCTCCAAAACAAATCGCTGCCTACAGCTAAACAGGGCTTTTGTGACACTGACTGCCTATAAGACAAACAAAGCTCAAAACAGAAGTGAAACATAAAAGAAAAGCAATAAATAAAAGTGAGTGTGATTGCACTGACTGGCATTCTGGAGTCAGGATAAAGCCCACTATCCCACCCTGTGTATTGTCACACAACAAAACAGGGAATCCCAGACAATGGGAGAGAGTCCCAGCTCCCTTTCTGTGGATACTTACATATATTGCTCCTAACTGAGTCCTGTCCGCATCAAAAAGTTGGTAGTAATGTTGTACAAAGCTGGATCCAATCTGCTCCCAGATAGGCTTGTCTCCCATTCTGAATCCTCAACCAGAGCCAGTGACTGTAAAAGAAATAAAATCATCACAAAGATCGCAGGAATAAGTGTAACACTTGAGTGTCACATCATGGAGAAACACAGATCCTCTCAACTGGCCTGAATTTTTCTTTGGGATAAGTAGGACAAACTCACCTCTGCATCCTAGACTTGTAAATAAAAGTCTTGGATACTGAATGGTTTAATTTCTAATTATAGATTTGGTTTGTAGTGCTGTTTCAGTGTGAGGTCACATCTCATGTACAAAAGTGGAGAACAAGAACAAAACTAAGTGTTACCACCTTGTCTTCACATATTTCAGAAGTTACACCATCTGAACAAGCTGGCAAGTGCTCGCTGTTTCAATTTGATCTCATTTACTGTAAACAACTGACCTGTTAGCATGGATTGTCTGCAAGTGGCTTACAGCAAATGATTCATGTATTTAGCTCCTCAGGTATTTCACCATCCACAGGCCATTCTAAGAGTGTCCTGTCAGTGGCACATAACAACAATTAATTCACTAGCTCTTTCTTTAACACAAGCTTACTGCCCATCCTCTTCTATCCTGTCAGTGAGGCTGAAGTAGATTCGATGTTTATCTTTGAGCCAGTAATAACTTCAAAATACAAAGCATAATTTTTCACAGTGGTGAGAATCTGCAGTTCCTAGTGAAGGTGCTGAAGGTATCCCACACTTCTGAACATAAGTCCTTCTGTTCCAGAGGGATTAAGCATAGAGCATGCACAGCAGTCTAAATAGGCCCAAAGCTGATGGCTTTATCACAACATTACGTTTTTCAAGAAAGCAAATTAATTTTTATTTATCCTGATCTCTCTCTGAAAGTCTGAAGAATTGTGCTAAAATTCAAACCAAAAATGTTGCACTCAAACCCCACTATGCTATATTTCAAGACCTGAGTTCACTTCAAACATATTATACTTGCTTAACATCTAGATCTGTCAGCCACTAGTCTCTCTTTGCAATCCCTGTCCAGGAACCTTGAAGTTAGAGGTTAAAATTGCACTGCAAGCCTGGAAGGGTAGGAAATTCTGCTTTAGGACACAGGATATAATAGTTATTTTGCATTCCTTTACCTGTCAATTACTCACACACCCATGTAAGATTTGACAAATTCATAATAAAAGCAAAACACACATTCCCAATTCTCCACAAAGGGTACTCCCAGGCCCAGCTTTCTGTGCACTGTTGGGCAAGAAAACTTTATATTTTAGGCCTTTGGCTGTCTGAGCTTTGCTCATACAAATGGGAACTGAAATGGGTTTAGACTCTAGGTTGGAAGTTTTAAGGTCATAGAAATTTGGCCAGACTTACAGAAGAGCAAATCTCTTTTATCAGATCAGTGACCTAACAGCAGATCACATCTGTGTTTTCAGGGTAATAAATTCAACTACCAAGAACAACTGCTATCACAGCTTCAAACATCCTTATTTCATAATCAGATACCTAGGCAGTATAGTCAACATCAAACTCACCAAACCTGCACACTAACAAAAAAATTCAAAGCCTTGTTGCCACACCACTATAGTTTCAACTGCTCCAAAGAGATCTACAATCTGGTGTTAGTCACCATCATGAGCACTCCACTGATACTTGCAGTACATACCTCAGTCTGGAGGAGTTTACCCTGTGTGGTCACTCCTCTGGGAAAACACATTGCAAATAAAAAAAAACACCAAAGTACAATAGATTTAAAAAAAAAAAACCCCAAACCAACCCCACACTCACCTCCCAGACAACTTAAATCTAGTTCTTTACAAGTGAAAAGGCTGTATTGATTGCACATCTATAATTGCTGCATACAGCCTAACAAGCTGATCCAGAAATCAAATAACTTCAGCTTGTATTAGAGGATTTTATGTTGAAGAAAAAACACCCTAAAAACATGGCACCAACTCCCTGGAAATTCTACTGAGTGATGCCCACCCTGCTGAGAAGTAGGACTCATGTCATATTTGGAAACCAGAAGGACTTAAGTTGATGCTTGCAGTTTCCATTCCAGACCTGTGGGTACCTAGAAGTGTGTAGTTTGGGATGGCTGCAGTGGAACCAATAATCAGCACACATGAAAATCACGTTGATGCACTTTTTATGGGGCACCATAACTTCAACTTCCAACACACAAAGTTACATCACTATCAGGTATTCCTAAACATTTAAGGGCAAATCTAATTGACAGTATTCATGCCCAGCAGTCACACATCTAACACTGAACTGAAGTAAAGGACAACAAAATAACCACCAGCTTATTCTTCTGAAGTGAAAGCAAGTCAGGTATTGACATATTAAACTTCCCCACATACAAGATGTGCATTCACCCTTAACAGCTCCCTGTACCATCATACAAACTCAAGATTAAGCTGTACGCCAGCATTGCACCTCATTTAGTCCCTCAAGGCACAACAGCCTCACTCAAGCACCAGATGCCTTCTGTTCCATCCTGAAACTGTGAGAAAGCCTTAGAGACTGCAAGGAATGAAGGCATTCTTATTTTAAATATAGAAAGTAGAATTATGGTTTCTAGATCTAAAAATTAGTATGTTAGGTTGCTATCTTCTCCTAAAATAAGTATTTGTATTTTGATCAGTAAAATACTGTTAAATAAATAAAAAAGAGCACAAATTTGACCAGTTGTAATGTTGATTTTATCAGAAATGAGAACAAGCTAAAAATAAAATGAGGTTGAAATTAATGATCCTTGACTAATTTTTTTTGTTTGCTACAACCTTACTGTCTTTCCTGTGCCATTCATATACGGTTTTGCTGACCACCCATTCCTCCTGGAAAGGTTTATTTTCCTTTTCTGATTTGTCACCTTTTCTTCCATGCTGTTTTCTGCCTGTCATTACAGTTGTAAGAAGCTTAGAGATGTACCTAAAGAAAGAACAAGATGGGAATGATCTGTGTCATCAACCCCAGTCGCCTTTCAGTGAGACACAACCCATGTAAGACTGTATTGATACAGTTATCAGTACAGTATTTTAATGAGATAAATACAATATAAAAAGCTTTAAGATCTATCGCAAATGAGGAAAACAGGTTCTGATGTTGTAAACACTACGGCAACACAGAGCCATCCAGCCAAATCCATCCATGCTTCATTGAAATCTGTCCGTGGTTACAGAAACAAGAATATTCACTTAATATAATGCCAAATAAAAGAAGTTTCAATAAACTAGGAAGCTTCTATGATGTGGCACACCTGTCCTTTCAAAGGCACCTGCTGAAAGTTACTATTGTGTAAGTGCAGTACTGGATATTCCACCTTAATTTTCCTTTAATGGAAAAGGAGATAATTTCCTTAAGCTAATTATTTTCCCTGCCTTTGTCACTTCAAACCAAAGCTACCTCCTCACATCCACTTAAGAACATCAGGGACCATTTGTTTAACAGTTTCTTCACAAAAGCACAGTGGTAAAGCAGAGCTACCAGCACATAGTGTAACACTAAATTCACATTATTCACTCTATTTCTTGGAATCAGCTTATACTAGAGATTTTATCCCCACCCCAAACAGACCCCAGCAGTCTGTGCTGAAGCAGAAACCCAATACAGTGCACAAAAGCTGCAGCTCCCAGCAACTCTGTCTTCAACAGGTATATGCTGACACTACTGAACTGAAGTGCTTCTCTGCAGGTGCCTTTTGCAGTGACACCAAATAAAATTCTCCAATACCTTTGCCAGGCTGCACACTGATGTGTCAAGAGTAAATTCCATCCCTCTATACATCTCTCACCACAATCCCTATCTCATCCTGCAAGGTCCCAGGGCATCCCTGGTGATTGCTTTGCCTCCATCTGCTTTGGCACGAGGCAGACTGCACCAAGAGCAGGACAAGCTGCAGGACCAAGCAAGAAGAAGCACTGAGGAGAAAGCTGCACCCGTAAGACAGAGAAGACCTAGAAGAGAACAAAGCCTCCACATGAGCTGCGAGTGACCTTGAGTAAAAAACTAGGGTTACATGGCCTCAGCAGACTTCTTTATCCACAAAATCCAAAAATACAGAATCTTTTCCATTGCTTGTCCCAGCTTTGGTGTCTCTGTCTACACTCACCCCTCTTCCATCCCTCCTGCCTTGTCTCTGGGTGTGAGATTAGCACGAGCACAACACTGCCCATAACTCCTAAGGGGAACTAAGTCCTTACGAGACTCATTTCTGCCCCTGGTCTCGATGAAACCTCCTCCTACTGCTTCCTTCACAAGCTATAAAACACATGATTCTCTGTCAGTTTGCTGCAGCACAAAGTCCATCCTTCTGCTCATGTGGCACCACCACAGCTACTCAGAGGGGTAGCTTGAGGAAAAGTCACTTTTTTACTTGGAAAAACAAGACTTATAAAGAGATTGCCTTCTCTGAAGCACGTAAGTGCCAGTGACATTTGGACCAGGTGAGCTACTGTCACAGCTCTGCAGTATGGAAAAAGAACAAAAATTTGCTTCAGCCAGCATTTATGCTTCACCACATTATTAGACTGGACACATGTAAGCTTGCTGCTATCAATTAAAAAGATGAAGTCATTCTGAACTGGAACAAGATAGACCTGCAATTCTAAAAGAATACTATATTTCCTGAAAAAGTCAACAAAAACTAGCACAAGTGATAGTAAAATATAAATTGCTAAAGAAAAACCGAGGTGGTCGGACAGAGTTTGCCACATTTAAAAAGCAAGCTGCATTCAAAGAACCAATGAACAACCACCACAGGCAAAGAAAGTCTGTAGAGTCTTTCTGGTCTGCAAAACACTAAGAAAAAACCCACTGAATTTAAAGAGGAAAAATCTCAAACCAATACATTCTAATGCTAGTGGAGAAAATTATCCTCTATTACCTTCTAATCAATTATGATTATATTTATTCCACAAGTAATCTCAGCATATATAAACCACACTCCCAGGATAGCAAAGCCAGCCCAAGACAAACAACCAAAAATAAACTTTCTTAAGACTGAATTCAGGCTTGTTTTCTGGAAGATTTGAGAATCAGTGCAACAAAATAATACCAACACCACCCTTAAATCTGTGCTGCTGGTCCAGTGACACATGTGAATCCACAGCAAGCACGGTTTGGACCACCAGTTGCTGCACCCTTCATTACTGATTAACAGGAGAAAATAAGGACAATGAAAGCAGTCTCATCTTTTTCAGTTCCTGATACTCTTGCAATTTCTACCATGCAGGTATTTTAGATCGCTCAGATTAGATAGTCAGCAGTCTTTAGACTGGTAAGTAAAGCAGCAAACAGTTTTATGCTATTTTTTCCTTCAATTGGTTTTCTTTTGCCACTAAAACTTGCACAGACAGGAGTGTCTCCAGTGTGCACTTTCTAGGAACACAAAGGAACCAGCATCACAGGACCAGTTAATCTTCTTTCAAATAGGTCATCTCTTCAGCTCCACCAACAACCGCTAGATAACAGATCATCCTCCTTTAGCAAAGGATACACTCCCAACAGAGAAACTATTATCACAGAATAATGCAGGTTTGCAAGGGACCTCCTCCAGCTCAAAATAGGAGGACAAACCTGTTCCACCACCTGACTGCCCTCATACAGAGGGCAGCTGTCCCGTGTCCTACTCCAATCCCATCTGTTCCAGTTATGTCCCTTGTGTCCTGCCCTGCCATGAGGTACCCTGAGAAAAGCCTGGCTCCATTCTCCTGATAATGGCCTGACAGAGACGAGACTGCGATTAAGCCCTGCTCAAACCTTTCCTAGACTAAACAAGCCCAGGCCATGCACAGTAACACAGGGATGCAGAAATACTGGAACTTACTGAGGGGCATCATGCCCCATCAGCCATTTATCTTCAACACTCTGCATGTCTGATGGTAAATGCTAATTCAGCGATCAATCTTTCTCCATTTGAAAACCCATAAAATTTCCAGTTGAGGGGCAAATTTGTGCATTCAGAGGCAGAAGGAAAGAAATATTTCTCTGACGTATTTTCACAATTATCTCCACAGCAGTTGATTGATCCATAGAGGAGAACCCTCTGTGAACTACAGCTCAAGGCCAATCAGAAACCATTGACTTCAGAGACGTCCACCAAGTAATTGCCATGGACTGCTCTGTGCAAGAAATTACATTATCCTAAATATGCTTTCAGAGCTAAAAATAATTAAGTCTAGATACATGAACAGTGAAAGGATGCAAAGGGAGAAAGGGGAAGACGACAAGGTCCAGACTATTTCCTTATGGAAAATACATTTACTTTCCCCTTCTTAGTCTTTTTATTCCTTTACTCCAACTTTGCTAGAACAAATTAATGAGGGAATTATGCCAAACTGAAATACATCCTTTTTTTGTTAGAAATGTCAGCAACTGTAATGCCACTAGTACACAAAGCATCTGAGGAAGACTCTGGGAAAGCTTTCACTGTGCCTGCAGCTTGATGCTCATCCCAACTGCAACCTAACAACCCAAGAGAGCCACACAGATTCAGTCAGGATGATTTTCAAATATACAGTCATATATTACACATAACTGCAGAGGAGGACATAATGTTTCATTGTTAAGCAAAAGCCACATTGCTACACAACTGCCTTTTTTTCCAGAGTATTCTCCATGCAAACCAAAAAATGAATTCAAGTTTGTTAGGCTGAAGCCACATTTCCTTTCCCCAAAATGAATGCAGGACTGCTCAGTTTAAAAAAAAACAGGGGAGGCACTGGGAAACTACAGGGGAGAATTGCTACACCCAGTTTTTCTTTACCTTATAGACACAGTAACAAAACATTTAATGGCTAAACTTGCCACAATATCTAAGAGTTTCAAAGCAACCTAAAAGAATTATACTTGCAACGTTACCAGCTATCAGTATATATTGCATCCCTAAACCTACCATTTTACTTTCACTAACTAAATGATCCTCTTATTAACAGGGACAAAAGAAATCCCAGCAGAGAGAACTACAGAAATTTGTTACCATTTGCATTTTTCTAAAGACCTGAACAAACACAGATGTTAAGCAAATATATTTCAAATCATCTAACAAATAACTTGCAACGTTTTAGACAAATAATAATTAGGGGCCTAGTAGGGAAATAGTGAGCCAAAATATCACCTCACTTTAAACGAGATCAGGCATTTTGCTATATATACAGTAATTTTGCTACATCTAGGTGAAGGTCTGTGAAATGCTTTTTTTTTTGTTGTTGCTGTTAAAAGAAAATTTAAAAGTCACTACACACAAATACAGAAATCACTGCTTGAACACAACTTCTCAAGAAGGCAAGAGTATTAACTTGAGACAGCAGCTAATTAAGGAATCAGAATTCATTTTCAAGCAACATTTCTGCAACCAATTCCTACTCAAGCATTTACCTGATTGTTTTTTTTTCCCAGTTTAACTACAATATAGTATATCCAACTCTAAGATACATTTACATTAGAAATTATGGACTGAATGAGCTAAGTTATTATGAGCTAAATTATTATAAATTATTATTACTAAAATGAGCTGAATTATTATTTCAGCCTGCCTCAGACTGGAAGTTCAATTTGAATTGCAAGAACAGACTTTTGGGGATTTAAGTTATCTTCAGAAAGCTATCTCACATTAACTAAATGCAACATACACTCCTTGCTATTGCACACCTTTGCAGGTTTTGATTGTTTACAGAGCTGAAAGGTGACAACAGACAAAGAAGGGAAGAAAAAAAAAAATCTCTCTTGCAGATCATACTGGAAAATGGTATCTCAAAGTAGAAAACTACACTGCTGCAGCAGATCATTGAGCACATGCACTTTGCTAGTTTCACTCCAAGGAAGCATGAACCTTTCACGTTCAATGTGTCAAAGTGAT